ATATAGAAATAAATTATGTGCAAAACATTCTAATTTGCCTTTTTAAAACATGGGATTTTTATGCATGTGTATTAACTCCAGGAAAGCATACGAGTAGCTGAGAACCAGAGGAATTGTATCCTGCTCAAAATAGGTCTCCTTCACTTTTCAAAGAGGAGGTTGGAACTTGGGTACCAATGTCTCCTTCTGACCCACCCAGCTTTGGGATTTTCAAATTGGCAAGATTTTTCTCTCAGATAAATTTGATGGAGTTTCCTATCCAGCTTATCAGTTAGGAAGATTATCAGAAAATGAAACATCAGGCAAATGAAGCAGGTCTAACAAGAAAGGAAAAACCATAAACCATGTTTACACAGAGAGGGTTCCTGGCGGGGACCTGGGTCATTGAATGAATGAGCTGCAGGGGGCCACACAAAGATGTCAGGTTTGGGATGAGAACGAAGATGAGGAGACACAAACAGGTGGAGAGGAGATTCGGTTCTTGAAAGAGAAGAGGAGGAGGAGGAGGAATCTGACACTAAAAAAGTGAAAGAGAAAAAAAAAAGGATAAAGGCAAAAAAAAAAGCTTTAGAGACACAAAGGAAAAAAATAAACTAGCTTTTAATATACTCACATAAGCTGCAAAGAAAATGAGGTCATGTAATACACAATCATTCCTCTACTGGACAATAGAATACAAGTGCTTTTCGAAGAAAACAAATTTGTTGTTTTTTCCACTGGTTATTTAATTGTTCTGCAACAACACCATGGAATAAAAATAACTCAGATTTACCTGGGCACAGACTCGGCAGCATGATCCGCTGAAAATAATACATCTTTAACCTACAATATCCAGGACATTCTAGAGGAGACCGTTTTTCAATTGGAAAGGTGTAGACCTTGGCTATTCCTAGATTTGTTTTTTATGAGAAGCATTTATATAAAGTTTACTTGGAAGTGAAGGTTTTCCTAGGTAGCGATACTGAGGTGTAACCATAGGTCATGGTCCCAGCATTGTGACAATGGAGGGCTAAGCTTTCTAAGCTGGTCTGTGGTCGGGTGCACAGGCTGAGCACTGTGGAAAGGAAGTTGTCACCGCCACTTTCATGCCTCACCAGCGGGGACACACTCAGTAACAGGGAGACCACCGCGGCCACAATGAAAAATTGTCCCAGACACAATGGACCAAACTTTCAAGGCGAAAGAATAATTTTGCTTTAGATAGGTGTCTGGCAATATCTACCAATGATTAAAGATAAATCTCCTTACTCCACATCCTGTTTTGTAGGCAAAAGGAAGAAAAAAAAATTTTTTTTCATCCTCTATTTAAGGAACTACCAACTTATTCCTAAGAAAAGACAATGATTCATAGCTTCAACGTTAAGACTGTCACTCTATCTAATTCCTCTTTTCTGTGGCTGGGACCTATTAGAGGTGGGGGGAGGGGAGCCAGAGGTGACAACGGGAGGGAAATCATGTTGTTTAGGGGGCTTTTTCAATTTGCCACATCCACTTAATGAAACCAATGCCTACTCTATTAGCCACAGTGGACTTGGCCAGTCCAAAGCTTCTAGACATGGGTTCCCCTTATGTTATTCCACAGATGTTCATATGGGCGATTTTGGAGGTGGAAAGCCATATCCTAGTTATTTAACCACTTCCCAAATTGATAATGCTGAGCCTGTACCTTATAATGACCCAGATGTATAATAATGACATGGTGCTTCTCTTTTTTAAAAGTTCTTATCTCTTTGACATATATACTGGAATTTTAGTATACAAAATATGATGTCTGGGGTATGCCTTAAAATACTGTATAAAAACGAAGTGTGGGACAGAAGTGATGGATGGAAAGGGAATACTAATCGTTGAAAGCTGGTCGTAGGTACGTGGGGATTCATTATATTGGTGCCTCTGTTTTGGTATATTTGAAAATTTTCCACAATAGAAAATTAAAAAAAAAACCCAAAAAACCAAAAGGAATGAAATTTTAGTTCTGGAACACAAAAACAAGTGACCAAGAGGGTCTGGGGCTTCACAAAGGATTCCACCTGCACCCTGGGTAATTGAGAATGGACAGGGTCATGGTGGTAGAGGTTCACCATGGCCTTGGCCAAGTCATTGTGGATGCCAGCACTGTGCGGCTTCGCTCGTGTTGGATGCCTGGGCCCTTTAAATGAGGGAATTCAGGAAAGGAGAGAGGCACCAGGTGCAGCACGGACCAATACTATCAGCGAGCTGTCACCTGCCAGGGCTGGGTCCTCTCACACCATAGCTGACCTCGGTCACTTTGTTTCGATTCGGGACCATTTTGACCTTGGATAAGTTCCTTTTCTCTTTTCCTCTAGAGCCCAGTTGCTTTCCTAAATGAGCAGTGCCATTCAAAATTGGCCAGCCTCCTCCCTCATGTGCACTGAAGACTGTGGCAAAGAGGAGGAAGATGGCTGAGGTCCCTCGGGACAGAGAAGCCCGGAGTGTAAAGTCTGCACCATGGAACGCTACATTGCCGTAAAGAACGTGGACATTTTCTGCAGGTGGGTATGGAGGGGTCTTCGGGACATGCTGTGAAGTGAAAAGTGCCAGGTGCTGGATGGTGTATCTACACAGTATTATGCTATTTTTCATGTAGGGGGGCATGGGAAATCATATCTATGATTATTTGCATGAAAAAAACACTGGAAGGGCAAGCATAGAGTTAATAAAAGTGGTTACCTTTAGGGAAAAACAAGATGGAGGCACAGGGATGGGAGCAAAACTTCTCTATGGCACCTTCTGAATCAAAACTCAGAATCTGTGGGTCGTTCACAAGTCAGGCCATCCACAAAGGTGAATGAATGAGAACGTGCTGGCCCTCTGCCTGCCCCGGAGCTGAACTATAGAAAACTGGGCTCTCTTAATCAAGATGGAGGCACCCTTTCCACTTTTAGGTGATTCTTCCTCATTTTTGTCTCTCTGATTTCAACTGTCATTTCAGAATGTTCTACCTTCATTTACAACCAGTCGGCATTGATAAGGCCTCCTAATATGGTCTTCCACATTTCTGATTCCCTGGCCTCTTGGGTAAGTAATCAGTGGTGTGCAAACCAACAACTGGGGGCTCTGAGAGCAGGGCCAGTGAACGATTGGAGGGATTCCTACAAGAATCATCCTGTAGGGATCATACAACAACAATAAAACGGTCAGTGGCCAGGCCTGGAGGCTGTGCCGTTCAGTTCTCCTGTTGTTCGAGGGCGTCTGGGTCAGCAACCCCACTCCGACCACCTGGGCTCCCAGAGTGAGGGACGGAGCAGACACGCAAACCCCAGTAGGGACAAGGGCGCAGCAACGCCCTGACTGCGCCACATACACACCTCCCCTGGATCCTACCGCATCTCAGAAGGCCGAACCTGGCCGGGGACGCTCTTGAAGTCTCTAGGGAAAATGTCCCACGGGGCAAAGGGAGAACAAGTAAGGACCTCGCTTATGTTCCGCCACCATCTGCATTCAATGCGATGTGGCATTCAAGTCTTGGGACTTCAGGGGAAATTAAGGTCCAGGCCAGCTGGAAGGAAAGGGAGTCTGAATTTAGTAGGACTGTCCTCACGGGATCCTGAGGAGGGGGCGGAGGGGGCAGCCTCGGGCAGCCGCAGCAGCTGTTCTGAATCAGCCGAAACTGCTGCCAGTGCTACAGTGAGCTTCACCCCCTTCTCCCCGTGGTGTCCCAGCCTCACCCTGCAGTGGCTAGAGCCGACAGCCTCATCCTCCCTCGCCAGCAATGAGGGGGTTCGACAGGGTCTCTAGGAGGACTGCCGTGCTATTTAAAGCCAGAGGCTCCCCTCCCCAGGACTGCTGGTCAATGAATCAGGCCGCTGCAGGGGGTGGGTTTCTCCGTGGCTTTGTCGGTCTGCATTTTGAGCAGTGGCCGCCAGCCCTGCTGAACTGCACTGATCTGCAATTCGCGCTGCATCCAATACCCAACACTCTTAACCTGGGAGCCCGCGGGCCCTGGGATCATACTTCTGAAGCTGACTTTAACTTTGGTACAAGGGAACCTAGCCAAGGAAGGCAGTCTGCAGGCAGCTGTGAGCGTGGGCTTGGGCGAGTAGCACATCTGGCTTCTAGAGGTGGCATCTCTCCCATCCTGCCAGGGGCAAGATTTTTCAGGAGCATACCCCAGGGCTGCTCTCTGCCTTTCTCCAGAAGGGCTTGGGCAGGAGCTGGGACCTGTCACAAGGTCAGGAGAAGGACCTGGAGGCTCCTTTCATGAAGCCAGCCCAGAAAAGAGGAGGCATACCCAGATGGGGATGAAGTCTTACACAGGCCCTCTGCGGGGCACCGTGGCAGTGGACGGGGGATGAAGAAGCAACAGAACCAGCTTTCAAATGATGCTCTGGAACTACCTTTGAGGCTCGAAGCGGAGGGGAACTTCTTTATATCCTCCAAACCACCACTGAATAGTCGGTAGAACTATTAGAACTACTTGTTTGGAGTTCTGGAAATGACAGAGGTGTATTTACTCCTCTGTACTTGGGCAAATGTGGAAACGCAAATGACAAGGTATACACACTTGCTCGGGGGACAGGAGAATCAGAAGCTCAGAACCCACCTGTGTCCCTAAAGGGCCTTTTTGCTGGGGGCGGGGGGTGGGGTGGGGATGTTCCTATGGTCAACTGATTAAAAATCAAAACCTGATTTCAGAAAGATCTGAAACTTGGAGAGGGAGAAACAGAAAAGCAGAGGGGAAGCTTCATGGGGATGTGAACAATCTAATTTTAGTTTTGAATTCGAGGCTCTGAGAGCACGGGGACAAATAGAAAGATCGCAAAAAGCTGTGCCAGGCAGGCGCTACCGTGTCCCCCGTTGTGAACACACACTTGAAAAGACACTGGAGAAAATGCGCCTCGACTGAGTTTAAGCTCTTAGCGCGAGGAGCATTTCCGAGCCCCATCCCTGGCAGTCTTCATCCCACGCCACTCGCTGCTCCGGGCCAGCCCCACGCGCTCTCGGACACCGCTCCGTCCCCTCTGGTCTATTATTCTCACCTGTCTCGGGATCGCTGAAGTCTGGCAAAGTAATTGTGTTAAGCTGTCGTCTGTCAGCAATGGTTCTATCTAAGAGGCTGCTCCCACGTCCAGAATCACTGCAAAACACAGCTGCAGAGGTCAGTCCTTGGAAGGGGGACAGGGGAGAGACACAGAATCAACCATCGCCGACCCCTGACGTGCAGTAACACCTTTTGTGTGTTTGGGACGCTCCTCAGCACCTCTCCGTCGCCTACAAGACATCCTGCGTCCTGGCTCGGCCTGGGCTGGGATCCCTTTCCATTCTCACTGTCACAAACACACTTAAACCACACCCACAGACCGTTGCTAATTTTAGCCTCTTTGGTGTCATTATAAGACACAAAACTGAAAACTTGAAGCCAGGTTCTCCGTCCGCCTTAGAATGGGGCACTGATTGGCCTTCTGCGTTGGAAGTCTTGGAGCTCATCAAGCCCATAAATACACCACCCTCGAATTGTCTTACAAATCAACGGTCTACAGCTAAGCCCTCACCGCCCAGGGAAGGCACCTGGGCATTTCTAGAAGACCCTTATGCCTAGGTCCCTCTCCAGACCAAATGCATCAATATTTCTGGGGTCGTCCACATTTTTCTGAGCTCCCCAGATGGTTCCAATGTGTAGATAGATTTGAGAACCCCCGGCTCCTACTTTTCAAAGGGCAATCACAGCTGTGGCGGCCTCCCTTGTGTCCCTATCTAATAGTCGTGAGATCACATAGGGAGCTGCTGGTCACTGGCACCCCCTGACATCCAGCTTGTCCAGTGATGAGAGGCTGGAGAAGGCTGGGCCTTGAGAACACACAGCATAGTTCGGGCACTCGCCTCCAGGCCTGCATGTTACCAGCTTCCTGCATTGAATCCCCCTCCCCAGTGCCCCCTACAGAGCAGGCTTGGCACCATGTGTTTGGCAAGTCACACGGGAGACCACCTGGGGCCTAAGTGGAAAGAAACACAGGTAGGGGACCTTAGCTCCTACAGACTCTCGTTTTGTTTTGTTCTAAGAAGTCTGTAAGCAAAAACAATTGCATTCTTCTTTTTTTCCTCTATCATGATATTCCATCCAAGAAGCTCCAAAAAGCAGCCCATCTATATCTTGAGGTTTGAGTCTATAACGCTTTTCTTTGAAGCTATTTTGTTTTGTCGATCTGGGGGCTCTAGGTGTGGTATTTTTTTTGTTAAGAAGTTCAAATTCTATAATAAAGGGACACAATATCCTTCCTGTATGCAGCTGTTGCTAAAAGTGGTACAAACAAGATTTGGTATGAAACTTAATATGGTTTGCAGGCTGTAATTTCCACGTCCAGTGATGTAGTTAGAGAAATCCACAGGAAACAGATGGAAACTTGCTTCAGTACAGACTATTTGTCAGCCTATACTTATTATATCATTGGATACACGTTTTTTGGAAACTGTTCTATTAATTATTTCCACAACTGTGAAACAATAACTGTCTCTGAGCAGAAGACAACATAAAAGTAGGTGCAAATGTTCATGAATCACATTACTGACTGCATATTTCTAACATCGGTCTGTTCATGCCTGTATTTTTAATATAAATATTCAAAAAATATTACAAAGAGTTATGATCTGAATATTGCAATGGCTCCCCACCTCGGAGCTTTTCAGAAGATGTCATCTCAAAATATAGTGATTTTTTTCATCGCCTTGGGGATTCTAGGACACACGGTAAGGTGCTAGACATTGCAGAGAAAGGATTCGCCTGGGTTTTTGATGGGTTTGCTTTGGCCATAAACCTCCAGGCTTTCCCAGCTCACCAAGTCTCATTGCCTGGGATTAGCTGCGATGTGTGCCGCTGGGTCCTGGAAGCCAGCCAGGGGTCTGGGATCTTACCTTCTATCTGTCCCTAACAAGTAGGTCACTCTGGTCCTACTCTCCCTGTGCCTCAGGGTCTTCCCTGTCAGGTGAAGATAAGGATTGTTTTCCCGCATACAGCGGCATGAGGCTGAACTGAGGTCATGTGGACAGCGCATTCAGAAGATTTATAACTTTCAGGTACACTCCATGCATCATTATAAATACATATACCCACAAACATGCACCCGAGGTGAATGTGGCTGGCTGATTTCTGAGGACCACTTATTCCTAGCCTTCTAGTACAATGGCAGGTGCGGGGAAGCGGAGTTAAGGGCCTCCTACTCTCAATGTTAGAAACTGCTGCTAAAACCCAAATCTTAACTTGTGAGCCTTCCCCACTGTTGTAATGACACAGGATCAACTTCCCCTCCACCAGCTGAGAGACTATGGGCTGTCACATTCCTTCTTTCTTCCTCAGAGTTCCTTTAGAAAACCGTGCATAAGCAACAATTCACTCTTCAAAACGGAGATGCTCGTTTCCGCTCTGAACGCTGTGACTGACTGAGAATTGTGCTGGTTGCTTGAAGCGAGTTTTAGTTCTACATTTATAGGGTGTGGAGTCTTAACCAATCGAGATTTGCCTTTGCAATGACCCCTGGGATATGGAGGAAAAGGCAAAGGGAGGCCCTGGCCACCCCTTGAGTCTCCTTACCTCTCTCACTCTGGCCAGTCCCTCTCACAAGAGCCTTCCTCTCTCCCTGGGGGACCCTGCTTGGGCCCCTGCCGTGGACCACCCACTCCCGCCTCACTACCAGTGGCCTCACGTCCTGTGCCTGGCCCGGAGGCTGCTGGGGGCCCCCCTCAAGGAGGACGGCAGGAAGGGAAGAACCATTCCTGGTCAATGGTGCTAGTGGAGGGTTTAGGCGGAGGACACTGGCAGGAGCCCCAAATCCACGGTATGTAAGCTGTGGATATCCACACAGGTAGACGCACGCATGCAGGTGACTTCTGCTCCCCGTCAGGACTGAACATTTAGAGTACATTCTAGTGATGGTTACAGCTATACTGGAAACTGGAAGCTTCTCCTGGAAATCCTCCACCTCCCACAGCCCGCAGAGGCTGTTAAACACAAGAGGAAAGCTGGTGGTGGGCTCTGAGTGAGAGCCCGGGGGTCTTTGTGGCGACCCGGCCTCCTACCGGCTTCTGAACTAGCGCCTGGCACAGTATTTACTGGATGGAAGAGAGGGGCCTGGGATGGGAAGCCAGAGCGGGGCGGGTGGGAGAGGAGGAAATGCCTGTTTTTCTCCAGGCCCCTCCCGGCTGGCTAACTAGAGTCAAGGCAAGCTCCCAATATCCCTGACCCTCAATTCTCGTCAGTAAAATGTGTATGAAAGAACATGACATTTGCCTGCTTTATGGGGCTGCTTGGAAGATGGAACGAGAGCACGCTCTGTAAAAAGAAAAGCTTCCCCAAAATGCTGGTGACTATTAATTAGTACCGGATGGGGTTTCCAGCTTCCCACTGAGGTTAGAGTAAAGAAAACTTTTTTTTTTTTTTCTAAATAAAAACTTTAAGTGCGATTTGCAAGTAAGCGATTGAAATAGGACTGGGGAAGAAAACATTTTCTTCCAATGACATGGCTCCGCGATGGAGATGGTCCACGTGGCAGGGGTGAGGGGGATGGGAAAGAAGTGGTTAACAATGAAAAATAAAAATAAAGGAAAGGAAGTTGGCTGCGACTTGGAGAGGCAGTGTGCATGGTGCAGGGAGCACTGATGTCAGCTCAGACCTGGGCCTGAATCAGAGCTCTAGTGCTTATTTAATCGGGAAAATTTAGGCAAGTTATTCAGCCTTGTTTATTCTCTATAAAATGGAAAGAAGAGTCTCGATCTCACGAGGCTGATGCAGGGGCTGAAGATGAGGCACACACGGATGGCCCAGGGAAGGGTGCTGTCATCCCCAGCTGAAACGCTGACTGTCCATTCCAGGAGGCTGCCAGAACCTTCTGGTGAGGCCCTGGTCACCAGTCCCGCCGTTCTGAGCGGCTGAGCCAATGGGCACGAGGATTGAAGGGACTTGCTCCTTCACTGAGAGAGAGGAGATGAAACAAGAGACAGCTTTCTCTCCTAAAGGCAAGTAAAACTGCAGACCCAGCAAATAAATCCAGGCTTCTGAAATGACACACACCTTTGCCAAATGTATACTCGAGAGAACGCCACCCACCATTTTGCTCATAGCAGAGATGCATTCTCAGCCTGCAGGTGGAACGCTCTTTGCAAGTTGTCTAAGGCTCGGTTCAGCAACTAGCTCAGTGTGATCTTCCTTCAAGCAAAGATCAAGAGGGAACAAGTTGCAGGGAACAGGAAAGCTCGGTCTCTTCTCCACATGGCCTGTTACTGCTCCTATCTCCCTCTGTGCCTCATCATCTCACCGAGGTAGGGGCCTGGGCCAGCCCCAGGGTGGAGCTGGGAGGGGGTGGGGGATGGTGGGGAGCCCTGGCAGGCGGAGCAGAAGCCCCTCCACGAGTGAGCACGCTCAGAAACAAGGGCGCCCCGACTCAGGGAGTCAGCGTGGACCTTCTCTGGGGAGAAACCAACCACCTGCCAAGATGCTCTCTGCCCAGTTTTTATTGCACTTTTTTTTTTTTTAAGCAGGGATGCTTCTCATGCACTTGTTCATGCGATTCTACCCTCTTCTAGAACCATGCGTGACCTTATCATGGACTCGAGGCTGCTGGACCCAGAACTGCCCTTATCTGGAGGACAAGGAAGGATGCCATCCCTTGTCAAGACGCAGCCCTCCCCTCTTCATGCTTCATTCTTCTGCTGGGGTCATGTCTAACCCAACCATACTGGGGAGGATGTCTAAGTTTGCACAATGGTAAGGCCTACAGGAGCAACATTTATTTATATCCCAGAGAAAATAATAAAGTTAAAAAAAACAATCAGGAAGCTCCTTACTAAGGGGCTGCTCAATTACCACCCCTCTCCCCCTCCCCCAAGGCTTTGGGAGTCGCTGGAAGGAGCAGTTTCCCAAACCCATGATGGGTCCTCCTCCACCCACCCCCACACCCCCTCCAGACTCTGCGCCTGGAGCCAGGGTTCCTCCCTGCTCTGGCCCTGCAAGATCCTTCAGGAAACGGAGGAAGTATGGACACAGCCCAGGCATTTGGTTAAGTATTTTTAAAAAGCTTTCCAATTCTGCTATTTTTTTTCTCCTCACATTCAATATTCTTGGTTGCTAAGTGGGAGGAAATGTGGGGAGGTGGGAGAGGTGTGGAGAACGGAGGGAAAATTGGCAACATGAAGGCTGATGGGTTTATTTTCTCATTTCGAACGGGGGTACGGGCAAAGGAATGCTCCAGGACGGAAGCAACCAGCCTGGGGAGGATCTCCTGTTAGCGGCGCTTCTGGCCAAGACTCTTCCCTAAATCCTGCTGCTTCTGAGAGGCCGGGAGTGGGGGGCTTTTCGGGAACATAACATGGGCCTTTTCTATTTCTGCTTACAGACTTAGAAAAGTAGGATTCTTTAAAAATTAAAATGATCTTTATTTTCAGAACATATCTGCAAAAGGGAAGAGGCCAGTTTCAGGATTATCTTTTCACCGAGAGGAAGATGGAGCATGGGGCGGTCACGTGCCACAGGCCGTGGCTGTGATAGGGATTCTTGGCTAATTCTCGTGACCCCAGCTTTGCAAGGGGCACGGGGCTGGCCAGCGTGAGCCCCCTCCCTTCCAGCTGCACTGCCCACAAGGCCCTGTGGTCACAACTCTGCCGAATGTCAGTTCCCTAACACGGAGGGCCCTGATTTTGACTATTTTTTTTTTTTAAAGATTTTATTTACTTATTTGACAGAGAGAGAGCACAAGGAGGCAGAGTGGTAGACAGAGGGAGAAGGAGAAGCAGGCTCCCCGCCGAGCAGGGAGCCCGATG